GATCCACGGCGCTGCTACGAATTGGTCGGATATCCGGCGGGCAGGTCCAGCTCTTCCGGCGATACGATGGCGAATCGAGGGACCTCAGCGGCTTCTTCTACCGGCAGATCTTCTTCCGGCGGGCTGGGGGCTGGCCGTGACAATTTCACCTCCGCTCCGGTCAAAGCAAACGCCACCAGCGTCACCAATTCGCTGCAGTTTTCTGATTTCGGGGCCAATCATATTTCGGCCTCCACAGATTTAAGTCCCGATCAATGGCAGGCTCTTGTTAATCTCGTTCGCCCCAATAATTCTGATTCTGCTGTTTATGAACATTTAACCGGTAAAGATTACTCCCGCACTTGGATGTATGATTGTGGTGCTACACATCATATGACTGGTTTTTATCAGTCACTTATTGATATTTGTGATATTTCACCTCGACCGGTACAGCTTTCTGATGGCAAATTGACTACTGCGACTAAAGCTGGCTCCGTACGGCTTAGTCATAATTTGTTGTTGATGAATGTCCTATTCGTACCAAGTCTTAAGTGCAGTCTTATTTCTTTATATCATTTACTGGAGGATCATGGGTGTGTAGCCCGCTTCACTGATGTTGATTGTTTGATACAAGACCGTGCTACGAGGACGGTGATTGGTCTAGGTGAGCAAAAAGGGGGGTTATATTTTTTCCGTGATCCTACTAAGGCGGTAACGTCTCAAGTATCAGTTCGTGGTTCTTTGGACCTGTGGCATCAACGACTCGGACATTCCCCTTCAAAGGTTCTTGGAAAATTATGTAGTTTCGCTCCTAGTCAAGTTAGTCGTTATGATAATAAAGCTTGCGATGTGTGTTATCGTGCCAAGCATACTAGAGATTCTTTTCCTTTGAGTGATAGTACCAGTTTGGAACCTTTTGCTTTGATTCACTGTGATTTATGGGGTCCTTATCGTGTCCCCTCTTTCTCTGGAGCAAGATATTTTTTGACAATCGTTGATGATTTTTCCCGTGCTGTGTGGCTTTATTTGTTGGATGACAAAAGCAGTGTTTCGGCTACTTTGATTGGTTTCTTTGCCATGGTACAACGTCAGTTTCATAAATTGGTGAAAGTTGTTAGAAGTGATAATGGAACTGAATTTATTTGTCTTACTTCATATTTTCAGAAAAACGGTATTTTACATGAGACATCTTGTGTTGCTACCCCTCAGCAGAATGGTCGTGCAGAACGCAAGCATCGACATATTCTCAATGTGGCACGTGCTCTGCGTTTTCAGGCCAATCTGCCTATTGAATTTTGGGGTCACTGTGTCTTGACTGCCGGATATTTAATTAACCGTACCCCTACTGAAGTGTTGCATGGGAAAGTCCATATGAGATTATTTTTGGAAAATCACCAACTCTTACACACATTCGTGTTTTTGGCTGCTTATGCTATGTTCATAATGTGGATCGATCGGGAGATAAATTTGCTAGTCGTAGTAGGAAGTGTGTTTTTGTTGGCTACCCTTTTGGAAAAAAAGGGTGGTCAGTTTTTGATCTTGACACTCGACAATTTCTGGTTTCTCGAGATGTTAAATTTTGTGAGGACCAGTTTCCTTATTCTACATTTCCAGTTTCTGAGCCCGATTTTGTGCCGTCTCTTTTACCTACGCCTTGGCCCGCTATTGATGATGAGTCCTCTCCGGTTTCTGTTTCTGCTCCGGACCCGGCCTCTCCATCTACTTCTGAGGCTACTGAGGTCAGGGGGGGCTCTGACCCTACAGCTTCTACTGAGCTCCTCGGCCGTGGGCATCGG